CCCATCTGTGCAGCCTGTCAGGTCCAGGGGCACCCTCTGCTGCCTTCTGTGCTACTCTTGCAGCTACGGAAATAATTCTGCTTCTTGAAAGCTACACGGAGGCATAGCAATCTCAGTGAGGCTCTCTTTGACGGTGTTACCTGTACACCTCAGGCACTAATTTCTCTTTGGGATCCTGTTATCTCCTCTGGTTTGGGTCCAAATTTTCAGGCACAGGTTTCCTTGGCTGTCAGACCCTCTGCGTACACTTTGCACTGTCTCCTTCTCCAGGATTCAGCCAGGGAACCCAGGAATAGGGCCAGGTCTCTGAGACAAGTAAATCCCTCTCTCAGCTGTTCCTATTTCTCTGATCCTAGCCCTTAATATAATGACCTATTTTATTATCTAAGGCAGTGGTTCTCAACCTTCCTAATGCCATGATGTATTTTCATTGTTACAAAGGGGTCGCAACCCACAGGTTGAGAACCCTGCTGGAAGGGGAGCCTTTACTTGGTACATTCTTTTTCTTTTAGACTTTAGAGGTACATTCCCAAAAGGATAATATTCTTTATTTCTGCTTTCTTCCAGAGGGTTTTCATTATGCCAACACATAGGGTGAGGAAATCTGTCACAGGCTATGGACCTGTATACCCATTGTTACTTGAGTGTCACTTGTTTCTGTATACATAGCTTTGTCAGGTAGCTCTCTCTGCTGTTTCTCTGCTCTCTAGCACAGAATGGAAGCAGTGGAAGGGCCTCAGACTTCTCTGGAGTCTTGCCCCTTCCCCAGATGCCGCCCACAGAGAATGACCAGAATCCTCTGCTCCTGTCAGCTCCCCCTGGGATCTCCACCTGCTCCGAACCTGAAGCTATTCTCCCAGTCTGGAGGGAAACATCTTTTATTCTCCCTTCCCACCCCCAAGCCTTCTGGTTATACCCCAGGCCACTCCATTTTCCCCAGCAGTCTTGAGCTTTCAAAAACCAAAGGAAGACTCATCTTACTTTATTTCTGCCAGAGGCAATGGAATAAAACAAGGGAGGGATTGAGAGAGCAGACCAAACACAGAAAGAAAAAAATATATATCAAGAGGAAAAATACACCCTTTAAACAGTATTTCACAAATTTAACCTGCCACACAAGTAAATAAATAATAAGGTAGCAGACTGTAATATCCATTGTGAAGAAAATGAACATGACCAGTACAATGGAGAGTGAAGGGAATAGGGCTTTGGTTTGGGTAATCAGGTGGTGACATCTCAGCTGAGACTTGGAAAATATAATACAACAGTAGTACATAGCATGTAGGAAGTACTCAGGAAAAGGCAGGGATTGATGAAGCCGACACAATGGATAGCTAGTGCAAGCCAGTGATTGTGGGGCGCCTTCCAAAGCCAAGCTGATCATAAAGCCCACTCTGTACAGTGACATAGTGAATCATTTCACAATAATAGGAAATTGCAATCCTTTCCTTACGCTTTACAAAGGTGATTGGCCCTGTGAAATGTATACTTTAGTGTATGTCAGGAATTTTTTAGGGTGGAACTTCCAAAAAGATTAATAGTAGGATCTCCATCTACCTTTTCCAACAGGAGTGCTTATATATCCTTCAGGCTGCTTTTTTTAGATCTTCTAATGAATCTAAAAAAAAGTTAGTGGTGTTTTGCCTCCTGCTCATTCGTTATGCATCATCATAAAACAATGAGGATCTAGATTAGGGGCCACCTATAGCTCACAGACACGTTCGTCCCTGCTACCTGTTTCTGTCCTGCTTGTAAGAATGGTTTTTATATTTTTAAATAATTGACAGCTTGAAACAAAAAGGATTTAATGGCATAGAAGAATTCTATGGAAATTAAATTCTATGAAATTAAAATTTCAATATCCATAAATCAAATTTTATTGGGACAGAATTATTTATGCACTGTGTATGGCTCCTTTCGTGATATAATAGCAGGGTTCAATGATACAATAGGAAAAGCCAAAAATATTTACTCTCTGGTCCTCTACCAAGAAAGTTTACTGATGCCTTACCCAAATGATCAGGTTACTTCTTAGTGTGATATAATCAATCTTCTCTTCTGGATTACACACCAGTGTGGAGGAAAATCACCAATACCAAATTTGTAAACCAGTGAATTAATTTCATATGCATTGTTTTTTATGATACTATATTTTGAATTGAGATCTAAAGCCTTTAGATAGCAATTTTTAGTCTTTTGGAATATAGGTTCTGATACATGAATTTCGTACTGTGCCAGATGCTAATATAAACACTTATATATATGATTTCTCTTAGTCCTCAAAAAATACCTATTGAGTAGGTACTGCTATTGTGCCCACTTTATAGATAACAAAACCAAAACACAGAAAATTTGAGTAAGTCACCAAACAAGCAGCTAATTACAAGTGAAGTCTGTATTTGAACCGAGAGTCCAGTTCCAAAGCCCTTAGTAATAAGGTGACCAGATTTTAACATTGGTAAAGTGGGACACCATTGACGGGGTGGGGAGGGCTTCCTAAATTAAAAATTTGGTCTATATGGAGCAACAAAAATTTTCATAGAACATAAAAATAGTATTGTAATTTTTTTTAATTTCAACATCAGTTAGATTTACAAATATAATACATTAAAAAATTATGTATAGTATTATTTTATTCTTTGGCATATTTCTCATTTGAGTGAATTTTTTTTTAGTAGATTGCTGTTGTTGTTTAAAAGGTCATGAAATTTTTCACAAGAATTTGTTAAATTATATTTCACACATAAAATGGCTTTCAAAGTCTCAACACTTAATTGCGATTTTTCTGATGTCTACACTTTATTTACGGTAGAAAAAATGTGTTCAGTCGCAGCATTAGTTCCTGGTAAGAACAGCGCATATCCCACAGTTTTTAGTGCATTATTGTATGGAACATGGTTTGTTTCAAAATGATGAAATATTTTTAACCATTTGTTCTCTATTGTGATTTTTGCTGATGCCCAAGATTTAACCTTTTCCTTATCAATATATTTTTTTAATAATGATTCCTCGTAAGTCATGTCACTTTGAAGGCCGGCGCTAGACTTTTTGCCGCCACTATAAAGTATAAATAATATGAGTACTATCTGCTAAATTCATGAAATAAATCAATAAATTACTTACCTAAATTATCTGAATAGCTGATTTGTTGACATCACTTGTTTAACTAGCACTAGCACGCAGTACGATGTGTATCGTCTGAGAGATAGTTACAAAATGTTTTTGTGGTTGCCAATGCCAAAAAATGCCATTGTTCATTAAGTCCAAACAATTGTGGTCGAATTCTAACAACTGATCAACAATGCGAACTGTGATAAGCAGTTCTCAACAATTATTTGTTATTATTAAAGTTTAACATTATAAAATTAACAAAAATAATATAAAACGCATATCCTGGTGAAATAGCCACATGGCAGCTGAAAACCATATATTCTCTTCTTGTTCTCCTGCTGTTCCCTAGCTTGTGCATTCTTTCCAAAAATCGGGACTTTTTAAAAAAGCCACAGGACAAATTGTTAAAAAGCCCGATGTCTGGTCACCTTACCACCCCAGGTAGGAATGTGGCAGAAGGTGCCCATGCTGTCTCTAGCACGTAACTCAGTTCAGGCTATAAACTTTACAATTAGCTTTATAAGTAATTCAGTGAGGGACAATACTATTCACAGTATAGTCACTAGTACAATTTATAGATGTAGTAACTTGTGGATGAAGAGGATCCAGCCAATATGCAGAGATGGGGACAGGTCTACCAACCTTTATTGGTCAAAAAGCCAGCCGTTATAGAGAACAGTGAGAGTAGCCTCTTCCAGAGACTATTTTCTTCCATTTCCAAAGCCACAGTTTTAGACATAAAAGTTCAAAGCAAAAACCACATTAACCCTTACTTTAAATAATAATCAGCACATCTCAGTGATCTATTACAGCATTTCTGATTCAAAAGTCAATTTCCTAAATCAGTTCTCTTAAACTGCTCAAGATAGACATTTTTTAGGGTGAGAGGTAAATTTACAAATCAGTAAGAATGGAAGAAATGAGGTGAAGGTCAGTAGGTCCTAAGCTGACCAGACCAGCTGTGTTATCTTGGCCCTAGCCTAAGTCCATCCTATTCTCACTACACACTTTCTCTTACCTAGGAGTATAGTATAATGTGAAATTTTGCCGTTCAACTTCCCACTTCTGTTAATCCCTTAACTCATTTGATATGGTCAATCTTTTTCTATTACACAGTAAAATAAGTACATGAATATTAAAACTATAAGTATTTAACTATGTATCATATTAAATTATCTTGCATAAATAAATATCAGACCACACCAGAGTAGAATATTCATAGACATAGAAAACCTCCCAAATATGAAGGAGAGAGCAGTGTGGACTACATTTGATGTCTTAGAAGGAAATATAATAGATGTTGGGATGAAAAGTAGATACACAAGTTATCTGCATAATATTAAATGTAAACACGTGGTACATTTTTGAAATTTGAAGCCTGTATTGTTAATCGGAATCTAAAGGAAAGTCGTTCGCAGTGCTCTCTTCGTGTGTATCATTTAAGTTTTGCTTACACATTTTAAGGTAAGAAAGATACAAACTTTTAGTGGCAGTTTGCTCCACTACTGTGTGGCTCAGTTGTTAGAGTCTTTCTGTATTTTACCCAAAATCTGATCCATTGACCCCTTTTTTTTTTAAGCTGGCGTTTAGAGCGTTTTGTGATTACTAACCATCCTTCCCTCCCCCAGCAGATTTACCTTCTGATTACATTTCCGTTATCTATGACAACGTTTCTGATTTGAATCAATTTCCTAAACTATTCAAGATGGACATCTTTAGGGTGGGAGGTGAATTTATAAAACACGAAGAATGGTAGATGGGGTGAAAGTTGGTAGGACCTGAATGGTCCAGACCACTGTGTGGTGTCAGCCCAACCTGCCTGGCTCCACCTGAGTTCCACAGCATGTGCTCTCATTTGTATCTGACCCTGTGCTTTTTCTTCTGCACAGGCATTTCCTATTCAAAACAGGGACAGGGACAACGCCACTGTTCAGTACAGCAACCCCAGGATACACCATGGCATCTGGCTCTGTTTATTCACCGCCTACTCGGCCACTACCTAGAAATACTCTCTCAAGAAGTGCTTTCAAATTCAAGAAGTCTTCGAAGTACTGCAGCTGGAAGTGCACGGCCCTGTGTGCCGTAGGCGTCTCGGTGCTCTTGGCAATACTCCTGTCTTACTTCATAGGTAAGAACACGTTTCTATTATTATTTGGTTTATAAATTAGGACATGACCTTGTTTTGTTAGTTTCACGTATTTATTTCATCGAGAAGTTATATTATGAGGCTATGGTTTGTGAGGGAGGTGTTAGTAATGATATATGAGGGTATTTGAGGTCATTTTAGCACACGTGGATAAATAGAGAAGCTGGCTGTGTAGGTGGTTCATTTCCATAAAGAGGAGGTTATATTCTTAGACACAAACTAGAGTACACGTGTGCCTTTGGTTTATCCCTCCTAAAACATAGGTCGTGATAGGTATGGAAAAGCTCAGCTGCTCTGTAGGTGCTGCTCAGGAGAAGAAGAGAATTCTCTAGGCTGAGATTAAGATATAAAAGTCTAAGTTTATTTTTATATCCGGGGAAGAGATGAGAAAGGGAGATCAGGGAGTGAGAGATGGGAAGATGGATGAAAGAGGAAGAGAAAAGGAGTCAGAGAAGGGGGGCATGCGAAAGAAAGAAAGGAAGAATCCCTCCCCAAGGTCCAGGGAGTGAAATTAAGAGTTCACACAGTGTTGTGACTGAATGCTGTGTCCCATCTTCCCTCAGGCAAGGTTAAAGGCAGACGTTTACCAAGTGTTTGCCATCCTTAGGCCTAACTGTTCACCCTTCCCTCCTGGACACTCAGGAATCATGTGAGACTTACAGGAACAAACTGTAAAAGATAAGGGAGCATGGGAAAGAGAATTTACACTTACTTTTGGTCTGTTGGGTTCCTCAGGGTTTGTAAAACTAGAAATCCACATGGCTGGTGGGGTTGGGGGCCCAATAGCAAGAGAAAGAAAGCAGGCAGAGAGACAGATTTTAGGCTTTATTGGAAAACTATGACTTAATAATTTTTCTATTATTTCACTATAAAAAGTGACCCTCCTTGGCTCAGCGCCTATAGCTCAACCGGCTAAGGCGCCAGCCACGTACACCTAAGGTGGCGGGTTCGAATCCCCAGCCCGG